TTCTTGGCCTTGCCACGTACTTGTGCAAGTACGTGGACAACTACGCAGGCAAGATTCGCCCGCTGTCGCAGCTCCTGAAGAAGGAAGCTGCGTGGAAATGGACTGCTGAGTGTCAGCAGGCGTTCGATGCAGTCAAGCTGGGCTTGACTGAAGCGCCGATCTTGGCGGTGGCTGACCAAGATCGCCCCTTTCACGTAGTGTGTGACGCATCCGATTTTGCGATCGGATGTGCGTTAATGCAACTCGATCACGAGGGCCTTGATCGAGTCGTCTACTACCAGTCGCGTCAGCTGAATCCAGCTGAGCGAAACTATCCTGTGCATGACAAGGAACTCCTTGCCATGAAGTATGCACTCGCGAAGTTCCGAGTGTACTTACTCGGCAACACGCCGTTCGTGGTCTATACGGACCACGCGTCGTTGCGGACGACTGTGAAGTCTTCGCACATCTCGCAACGAATGATGAGATGATTGTCCTTCTTCGCGGAATACAACTTCCGGGTCGAATACAAACCCGGGAGGTCGAACGTCGTCGCGGACGCATTGTCGCGACAACCGGATTACGTTGTCAAGCCAGCCGACGTCAACCGGATTGACGTCGCGCGGACATACACACCGTCGTCGTCCTTGTTGGACGAGGTGAAGGCCGTGTATGCGCATGACACAGACGCGACGAGTTCCTCTCAGCTCCTTCCGACAAAGCACGTCGGAAGTTGGCCCCTCGTCTACGAGCGAGTGCACACCGGTATCGTGTGCACGACGGTCTACTGCTTTACAGCGCTGTAGACGACAATGCGGAACGCATTGTCGTGCCGAATGATCCTGACCTGCGCAGCAGGATCATGTACGAGTATCACGATGTCCCCACAGCAGGACATCCGGGACGTGAGAAGACGTATTCCCTTCTCACGAGAGACTGCTACTGGAACCACCAGTACAACTGGGTGCGCAAGGACGTACGTACTTGCGACATTTGCCAGCGAGTGAAGCCTGCACCTCACTCGCAGGCTCCTCTGCGACCACTGCCGACTCCGTCGAAGTGTTGGGAGTCCGTTTCGATGGACTTCGTGTTTGGTCTTCCGCGCGATTCCATGGTATTGTGGTCTTGGTGGACCGCTTCAGCAAGATGGTGCATCTAACTGCTGTCGCAGCGGAGGTGACCTCCGTACAGACGGTACGTCTGTTCGTCGACATGGTGTTCAAGCACCATGGCATGCCCAACGACTTTGTGTCGGACCGCGATCCGCGCTTCACGGCGCGTTTCTGGCAAGAAGTGTTCACACATCTTGGAACGCAGTTCTCAATGTCGACTGCGGATCATCCGCAGACGGACGGGCAAACCGAGCGCGGCACAGACGCGGACAAGACCAATGAGCTGAACCCGGGGTTCAGCTCTCAAGCAATGGACTTTGTCC